AACTGCAGTTTCCCCTTCTGTAAAACAGTTGCCCCACAGGCTTTTGAAGGCACAGTTTCTGGTACGTAACTGTCAACAGCTACCAGTCACTATCATAACAGTATCAGTATTTATTAGTCTAAAATTACTCGTAAGTTTTACTTAATAATGCAAAATAAAAGTTGTCACCGCCAATAAAATACTTCTGCACCATCCACCACCACCCCAAAACAACTGAGCCTGACTCTAATCCATACCCTGGACAACCCATGAATCAAAAAGTGAATCACACTGAAAATCAGAAAAATTTATATTTAGAATAATAATAAAAATAATACACATCAAAAGTTATGGAATTAAAAAAAACTTATGGGATAAAGCTAAGCTTAAAGGGAAATCTATAGTGTTAAATGTATACATTAAAAACAAAAAAGGCTGAGAAAAACAAAAAAGGCTGAACATCTAAAAAAGTTTGAGAAAAACTATTAAGTGTGCAATAGCATTACGTCTTTAAAAATGTACATACCTTAATATTTTAAAATACTTTATTACTAAAAATGCTAACCATCATCTGACAACACAGGGTTGAAACAAACCTTCACTGTGTTAAAAAACACATTATCTGCAAAGCACAAAAAAGCAAAGCACAATAAAACCAGGTATACCTGTACAAAAAAGGAAAAATTATTTGCCAAGCCTCACTTTAATACAGAGATCTCATAAATCCTAAATAAAATATTAGCAAAGCAAATCCAGCAAGGACAATACATTACAATCAAGTTGAGATTATTCCAGTAACACAAGATTTATTTAACACTTGAAAATAAGTCCAACATATTTCATCTTATTAAATAAGAAAATAATGATAATATCATTAGATGCAGAAAAAGTATTTGCTAAGATTCAACATCATTTGTGATTTAAAAAAGAAAAATCCTAGCAATCTACAAATAAGAAGGAAACTTCCTTTATCTGAAAAACAGTATCTATAGTAAACACCTACAGTAAATATCACACTTAATGGCGACACAGTGAAAGGCATCTTTTTGATACTGGGAACAAGGAAAAGATACCTACTCTCACCACCTTTACTCAACACTATACTGGAGGTCCTAGATACTGCAGAAAAAAAGAAGACACAAAACACTTAAAAGTTAGAAAAGATGAAATAAAACTGCCATTATTCATAAATAATAGAATTATGCACATAGAAAATTCAAAAGGATCTACAGAGGACTTGTTAGAATTCATGAGTTTATTAAGATTGCTAGGTATAAACCCAATATACAAAAATTAATTGCATTTCTATATACCAGTAATAATTATAAAATGATACCATTCATATAATTTTTGACATCAAAAATATCAAATACCTAAGCATGAATCTAACAAAAGATATTTAGGACCTCTAGAAAAAATTATAAAACCTTACTGGGAGAAGTAAAAAGATCTAAATTAAAGACTATACCATGTTCATAGATGAGAAGACTCAACTGTAAAGACGTCAATTCTCCAAAAACTGATCTACAGAGTCAATGAAATATCAATCAAAATCACAAGAGGTTTTCTGTTTGTTTTATAAAATTTATTATGCTCATTCTAAAATTTATATGGAAATACAAAGGGCCAAAAATAGATAGGATAATCTTAAAGAAGGAAAACAAGATGGGAAGACTTACTCTACCAGAGATATCAAGACAATTTAAAAGCTATAGCAACGAAGGTGGCATTACTACAAGGAAAGACCAGTGGACTAGAGAAAAGAATCCAGAAACAGAGCCACACTAGTATGGACATTTGATTTTGACAAAGGTGGCAATAAAGAGCAATGGAGAAACAAGAGGCTTTTCAACAAATTGTGCTGGACAACTGGATATCCATACAGAAAAAGTGAAACCTGACCTCTTCCTCAAACCATACCTAAAAACTATTCCACGTAGGTTTTAGATCTAAATGTGGAAGGCAAAAAATTAAATGTCCAGATTTTAGACCAGAGGTTCTGAGGTCTTCTGACCCAAGGCACCTGCAGATAGAATTCAAGATATAAAAAATATTTCTGATACCTCAACTGTATCCTCTCATGCCTTAGCATTTTAGTGAGCCAGTTCCAGTTGACAGCAGCCACATATCTTTGCCTGAGTTTTCCAGGAATTGTTTGTAAGTGCTGAGAATTAATGCTCTGCTCTCACCAGCCTTCAACCCATGTGTGTATGTGTGATGTGCCTGAAGAACAAGTGTGAGGAACATAATGTTGTGAGGACCACTAACTCCCAGAGTTAGCCAGAGATTTAATCTTGTTAATCACCTGCATGATAATACACTCTTTTTTAAGCACCTTCACTTCCCTGCCTCAAATCCAGTATATGTTTTTGTGAGCATTGCCCATATTAATTACTTGAACTCGAATGCTTGTCTGGGGGTCTGCTTCTTGAGAAACCAAGGAAACCAAGACCCAGAGTTACAATGAACTTGAGTAGGGGAAAAAAATTACTTCTCTATTTTTGTAACTGCTAATTGAAGGAAATGCTAAAGTTCAGTTATGAATATAAACATACCAAAATGATGTTAGCAGTACTTGTGACTTTGTCTCTAACAGAAATCACAGATGTTTTAATATTACATGACAGCTGCTGCAGATACCTCCACATATTTTTTACACTCCTCACTACATTGAAACCGTTATTTATTAGTTTACTGCTAAACCGCACATGATCGCAGTCTTTCTGTCTATAATGTTATACAGTCTTCCTGTCTATAATGTCATCAACTATTGAGCAACTAACTACCTCTGTGCCAAGTAATCGTTCAACCACAAAACAGTTGAGTGTTCTACAACTAAAGATTAACTCAAAAAGCCTTGGGTGAATTCTGATGTTCTTGGAAAACCTATCCTTGCCTTGTAAAGTATAATATGGAAATTTTAATTCGTACACAACAACTAAATACAATTAAACTTTAATCTGTGATTTTTAAATGTAATTTTTTCTTAATGAATACATTAACTAAGAAGTACATAATTGATATCGTCACAAATTTATTTTTTAATATCTTGACGGTATATTTCAATAACCATATGGTATCATTTTTATAAGTTCAAAACTATTCAAAAATAAAAATTATATTCTTTGGGAATCTACACCTGTGAAACTATTTTTTTTTTAAAGCAATGAAATAAAACATAAAATTCAGGATTCCGGTTGCATAGGTGAGAGGAAAATGAGGAGATGCAAGAGGAAAATAGTAACCCATTAGTTTTATGTCCTTTATCTCAACTGGGTAGCAGGTACATACATGTGCACTTGTTTAATTATTATCTTATATATAAGTTTTATATATATTCATTTTATACTTAGGAAATATTACATATTTAAAAAGGAGCATTCATAGAATCAGAAAAATATTCTTGAAACTCAAAAATGTGACAGCAGGGAAAAATTATTTGTAAGTTAGAGCTGAACACCCCACCCAGAATTTAAACAAAAAAAAAAAATTAAAAAAAATGACGAGGGGGGGGGAAAGAAAATTAGAGGATCAGTATAGAAGGATCCACATCTGAATAAGGGGAGATCCAGAAAGAGAGAAAAGAGAACACGAAAGGAAGGAAATAACACAAAAGGAATAATATAAAATAGTCCCCCTGAACTGAAGGACATGAGTTTTCACACTGAACAGGCGCATCAGATTGCCTGCACAAAAAAATTCTTTATCCCTTAGAGATACATACTAAAATATTTATAGATGACTGACCCATACCACGATATATTGAAATTTTAGAACACCGGCATAAGGGGAACATTCTTAAAACCTCTAAACGCTAGAGCTGGGAGAGCATGGTCATAATGGCACTATACCTCTCAAACAGCAACACTGGAAGCTGGCAGGCAACAGAAGCATGATTTTTAAAATTCTGAAGGAAAGTTAGTTCCAACCCAATGCTATGCCCAATCAAATAAAGCATAACAAAGAAGAAAGAACTGTTCAGACTTGCAAGGCCTCAAAAATGTTTTTTTCCCATTCATCTTTTCTCAGGAACCTACTGGAGGGTATCTCCATCAAAACAAGGAAAGAAGATGATAAATGATGTGAAGTAACAGGGAATTTAACAAAGGAGGTGGGCAAAGAGATTCTCCCGAGGCTGGTAAAAGAAAATCCTGATATGAGAGCTCTATTATTTTAGACTCAGAGAACAACTAAGCCAGATTGGAGCAAAGAGAACAGACATTTCCAGGATACCTCCTACGTGGGATTATACTGAGAGAAGATCCAAAGAATGTCAGAGGTGTGAGGGATGAATTAGGTATATAGAAAACTAAGCAAACAGTAAAACAAAGTAATTACTAACGCCAAAGTAATTATTCCATGAAAAATCTTTTACACACTCTTAATAATGTGCATAATAAATAGTGATTTTCCCAAATATTATGAGATGCTTATATCAGAAAGACAGGAGGAAGGGGAAGTGAATATGTGTATGTGCTAAGTGGAGATGAGGTTGGGACATCAGCTAGAGAAGTAAAGTCTCAGCCTCCATAGTAGCATGGCCAGAAATTATACATAAAACCAAAAGGAAAAGAAATAAAAAAAATTTTAAATCGGAGCATAATCAAGTTACTAAAGAATATGTAAAGAAATACTAAACTGCAATTTTATGAATCACTGCCTCTAGGACACAGGAATTAAGAGTTAGAAGAAGGGAGTGCATCTTTTCATTGTAAATCTAGTAGTAATATTTTACTTTTCAAATTATGTACATATGCTATTTTTAAAACCTAAAAATTAATTTTAAAAACCATAAATTTTCATAAGGGTCAAATAAGAATAAAAATAATAGCCATTATTTACCAAACGCCAACTACCTATGGGAAACATAGTAGATCTTTTACAAAAACTATCACTATTCCTCAGGCCACCTTTGTAATGTAGGATTATCCTAATTTTACAGATGAAAAAACTGAAAATGAGAATGAACAAGGAACACTTCTGTTTTGTTTTTTCTGTTTATGTTTTGTTTGGTCCTTTACCTTTCCAGCAGTAGCAAAATATTCACCATCAGGGGACCACTCCATCAAATGTACAGATACTGAGGTTCTAAAAAAACAAAATTGAACAGTTAGCATTTTTAAAATCTGGAACACTATATATATAAATGGTCAAAATAAAAAAAAAATTTAAAAAAAAAGATTTTCATAACATCATCAAAACAAGAGTGTTTTCACCTCTCTAAAAATAAATCTAAATATTTCACCTCCCTAAAAATACAAATTAATTCATTAAAGCTAATCCAAAGCTCACTTTGGGGAGCCAAAAGGGAATGCAATTAACATGCATAAATGATATCGCAACCTACATGCCCCACCAACATCTTAATGTAACATTTTGAAAACTGAGCTCATCATCTTCCCTGGCTAGTTGGATCCCTTCACATACTCCATATTGTTAATGGATCCTTTCACATAATCCTTCCACCTGAAAGAGTGTCTCACAACTTTCACATCTTCCCTCTCCCTATCCCACCTATATCTCATGCATTAATGAATAATTCCTACATATCAACCTTCTCAACCCAAGTCCTGAGGTTATTAACTATGAAAATACTTTCATCCTTTTTTAAAACAATCAATTGTAGCACAGATTAAAGGATGATGTTATAATGGGTTTTGGTTAGAAAAAGTCTATTTTTCTAGGCTTCTAAGAACATATCTCAGGAAGCATTTTTTTAATTAATGAACATAACAGAGTTAGACACTAACTTGCACTGCCAGATGCACTTCCAATCATTTAAAACAGGAGGAATTTTATTATCGATTTCTTCCTCCTCTTCCAGAATGTCACCCCCTGGAGGAGCCCACAACTGAATAGAATCAGTTGCTGTCAACAATCTGTTATCTGAAAATTAAAGAATGTTCAGATGAATAAGCAAGGATTATCTAGAGAAATAAACGCACATGTGGGCTTCTGCTTAGGTCTATAAACTATTCTGTGAAAAATAAGCAATATTGTCTATGAAAAACACTTGTGGAGTACATCCATTTAAAAGTTAGAATCCACTGACAAGAAAACTTGAGGGAAACTTGAGAACAAAAAAGAAAAGCCTCCTGACAAAGAGCTATTGTCTATCAGGTAAAACTTTAAAAAAAAAATAACAACAGAAGTAGAATAACAAAACAAACCCCAACACAGAATATTCAACACAGAATATATACAACACAGAATATTCTCAGGATATAAAACATAACTAAAGATTAATGAAATTTGTTTTTCTACATGGACTATTAAAATTACCCTCACTAGCTGTGAATGTAAAAAGGGACAACAGCCATTATCATCAAAAGTTTCTAAACTTTCAATATTAAAGACAGTAATTTCCCGAAATACAAATACCAAAGTGAGATAGGGTTTTTCTTATCTTGTTTTATTTCTGATTTTATTTCTTAATAAACACAGTAAGAGTAAAGTGCAGCACATTAATTAATGAAAGAAATCATCATTGTTTCTTGGAACAAAACATTCAAAAGTAGCAGGGGAAAGCACAGAACTAACAGTAAATTAAGCACTGTACAAAGCAGTGTATATGAAAAAGAAAAAAGTATACTCATTCACTAGCAAAAAGAGAATACTACTGATCATCTTCTTATTATGGTAGACTATATCACATTGTAATCATACACTTAAAACAAATATTAACTTTTCAAAATTTCTAAAGATAATTGCTCAATACCTTGAGGGTCCCATGCTAAATTGTATGTCACAGAACTCAAAAAAAACTGCCCAGTTTTAAGCCACTGACACTTGAGTTGCTGAAACATAGAGAGAGAAAGAAAAAAGAGAAAGATATGTTTTCAAAGTAATATCCACAAGCACAACCATATTATCATTTTCTTCAACTGAAGACTATGATCTGAAACAAAGATGTAAATATTTCACTATTATTTTCAAAATACTGTTTTTAAAATAATTTCCAATGATTCCACTTACTATTCTACCATATCAGGCTGTTTGCCACACCCAAACAAAGCATGTCTTCCAGGCTTCCTTCCATGTCTATAAACACAATCTTTTTTTGGGGGGGGCTGCGTGGGGTCTTCATTGCAGCATGCGGGATCTTCAATGAGGCATGTAGGCTTCTTAGTTGTGGCATGCAAACTCTTAGTTGCGGCATGCATGCAGGATCTAGTTCCCCGACCATGGATGGAACCCAAGCCCCCTGCACTGGGAGCACAGTCTTCCCCACTGGACCACCAGGGTAGGCCCCTATAAACACATTCTTATTCTTAGGGTATCCCTCCCTCTCTTTTCTGCCTACAAACTCCTATGGTTACATCAGGATCTAGCTAAATCATCACCTCTGCAGTGAAGCCTCTTCTGACATCCTGGCAGCACTCAGAGCACTTTTTACTTACATTCTACCATTATAACACTGGTCACACTGAATTATTTGCTTATATATCTGACTCTCCTATTACACTGCAACTCTTCAAGGGCAAGAATTATGCCACAATGAGCTTTGCGTATTCAGTGTTGTAATGACTGGTACACAGATGCTCAATAACTTTATAAAAACAAAGTAAACGCACATTAGAAAGAAGTACAAATTAACACAATCCTATGGAGTCAATGTCTAAAATAAAACTAGATACACCTTCCAAAAAGCCAACAAATTTGAACCATATAATATATAAAACCCACAAACCTGACCTATATTTGAATAATTTCCATTCTATTTTCTTACTGTTTCCATTCTAAAGTGTAGAAAGATTTAAAATTTAAAAGTCACAGCTTTCCCATGAAATACAGTAAGTAAAAAAGTTTAGATATCTCTTTTCAGTAGATAAACATAAAATGTCCTTTTGTAGGCTTCCCTGGTGGCGCAGTGGTTGAGAGTCCGCCTGCCGATACAGGGGACACGGGTTCGTGCCCCGGTCCGGGAAGATCCCACATGCCACAGAGTGACTAGGCCTGTGAGCCATGGCCGCTGAGCCTGCGCATCCGGAGCCTGTGCTCCGCAACGGGAGAGGCCACAACAGTGAGAGGCCCATGTACCGCAAAAAAAAAAAAAAAATGTCCTTTTGTGAAAGTATAGTGCAATGTAAAGCCATGTCAAGGCTTTTTATAGGTAAGTTATACATTAATTGCTTGGCAAGTAATAATTTAATAAATGGCAATGCCCTCTCTTATTATAATACTTTTAAAATATTTAACAATAAAATAATTTATTCAAGATTTCATGACTATCTAGAGGTGGAATTTTCAAATACAACTACAAAACCTGAATTTCAGTATCCAAAAGTTAATTTTATATTTATTAATCAGGGAAAAGTTATTTTTTAAACCCTATCACTGCTGACCGAACAACAGTCACAACAGTATTTTAAATACTGCTCAACAGAACTATTTACAGTAATAATAAAATCATTCCTAAAACTAGAGCTATCCCTAACATTCTTTCCATTAGTGCTTCTCAGAGTGTAATCTGTGGACCAATTACACTGCAGAAATTCGGGGAGTGAGGTCTGGAATCTGATTTTTTTTTCCATTTTTTTAAATTTAATTTTTAATTTATATTGGAGTATAGTTATTTACAATGTTGTGTTAGTTTCCAGTGTACAACAAAGTGAATCAGTTATACATATACATACATCTATTCTTTTTCAGATTTTTTTCCCATATACGTTATTACAGAGTATTCAGTAGAGTTCCCTGGGCTATATAGTAGGTCCTTGTTGATTATCTACTTTATATATAGTAGCGTGTATATGTTAATCCCAAACTCCTCATTTATCCCTCCCACACACACCCCCACCTTTCCCCTTTGGTAACCATAAGTTTGTTTGCAAAGTCTGTAAATCTGTTTGTTTTGTAAATAAGTTCATTTGTATCATTTATTTATGGAATCTGATTATTTTTCTATAAATTCATTTATTTTATTTATTTAGTTTTGGCTGCATTGGGTCTTCATTACTGCACATAGGCTTTCTCTATTTGTGGCGAGTCAGGGCTACTCTTCGTTGCGGTGTGAGGGCTTCTCATGGAGGTGGCTTCTCTTGTTGAGGAGCATAGGCTCTAGGCACGCAGGCTTCAGTAATGGTGGCTCATGGGCTCTGGAGCACAGCCTCGGTAGTTGTGGCACACAGCCTCTAGAGCACAGGCTCAGTAGTTGTGGCGCACGGGGCTTAGTTGCTCTGCGGCATGTGGGATCTTCCCGGATCAAGGCTCGAACCCATGTCCCCTGCATTGTCAGGCAGATTCTTAACCACTGTGCCTCCAGGTAAGCCCCTGAATTTTTAAATACGTACTCTCGATGACTCGTAAGTACTCTGAAAATTTTTTTTTTTTGCGGTACGTGGGCCTCTCACTGTTGTGGCCTCTCCCGTTGCGAAGCACAGGCTCCGGACGCGCAGGCTCAGCGGCCATGGCTCACGGGCCCAGCCGCTCCGCGGCATGTGGGATCTTCCCAGACCGGAGCACGAACCCGTGTCCCCTGCATCGGCAGGCGGACTCTCAACCACTGTGCCACCAGGGAAGTCCAGTACTCTGAAAATTTAATATGCATTTCATAATATTATCGTAGGGAAGAGACTATGATATAATTTGTACTTCTGGGGGTAAATGTAAAAAAAAAATTCATATACATACTTTTAATGAAAAATATCAAAACCACTTATTTACTGCAGTTAAGAATACAATTTTTTTTTAATTACTGGTAAATATGTCAAGAGGTGAAATCTTGGCGTTCAGATTTCACGCTGGCAGTTTTAACTATTTGTGAGTGATGGTGGAGTTCTAATGCATGTAGTAATTTTAAAATTAAAAAATTTTTCTAACCATATTGGATTTTCTGAATATTAAGTAAGACAAAATATAATTCAGCACCCAGTGAGTTTACCTAAGCTCCTAACTCCTTCATTCAAATATTTAGAAGTACCTGTTATGTTCCAGATACTTGAGATGCATCAGTGAACAAAAGAAACAAAGCTCCCTACCCTCATGGAGCTTACATTCTAAATAGTAATCTATAAATAAATAAACAAGATAAGTGCTCTATTGAAAAAGGTTTAAAAATAGAAGGATAGGCAGGTTAGAAGGAAAGTGGGAGAATCAAGTGGCAATTTTTAAAAGGGTGTTCAAGGGACTTCCCTGGTGGTCCAGAGGCAAAGAATCCGCCTTCCAATGCAGGCGATGCAGATTTGATCCCTGGTCCGGGAACTAACATCCCACATGCCTCGGGGCAACTTAGCCCGCCTGCCTCAAAGAGAGAGCCCGCGTGCCGAAACCTACAGAGCCTGCCCGCGCACCCCAACTAGAGAGAGAAAACCCGTACACCACAACTAGAGAGAAGCCCTCACGCCACAAATAGAGAGAAACCTGAGCAGACCGCACACCATAATGAAAAGATCCTGCATGCCTCAACAAAGATCCCGTGTGCCGCAACTAAAACCCGACACAGCCAAAAAAAAAAATTAAGGAAAATAATTATTTTTTTTAAAAAAGGGAAGGGTGGTCAAGGCACATCTCATTGAGAAGGTATTACTAAGCAAAAACTTAAAGGATCTATAGGAACTGGCCCTGGAGCTATCTAGAGAAAGAAGGACATTCCAGACAAAAGAACAACCAATGCAAAGGCTCAAAGATGAGAGGGTAACTAGCCAAAGAACAGTGAAAATGCCAGTGTGGCTGGAGTGACCAGAGAGGACAAGAATAGTAGATGAGCTCTGAGAGGTAATAAATGGGTGCAGGTGTGGGGGGCAAGGCGAGGGTGGAGGAAGAAGGGCTGTAGTCCATTCTAAGGCTTTCTGGCTTTAAATGTGAGAGAAGTATGGAGCCATTAGAGTTTTTAGCAGAGAAGTGTCATGATCTACTCTGCTGAGAACAGAGAAAGGGCAAGGGGATAGATATTAGACAGGAGACTAGTCTAGTAATCTAGATAAGAAACAACAGGAGTTCACCTGGGGGTAGATCCCAATTAACAAGGCAAATCTCAATACAATATTCTAGGAAACTGATTTTCTAAAAGGCCTAGGAATATATTCCTAGTGAATGTAAAAGATCTTACCATAAAGCACCAGACAACCTTCACACTGATATTCCAGACCACCTTCAGCACCAGCTCCTAAGGAGCTCTTTATTGCTGTCAACTGGATTCCAAACTCAATTATAAAACTTTTCTACTACCATTTAATACTTACACAATTTCTCTTATGAGAATTTATGCCCAAGGGCTCAAAAATACAAACAGCATTACCATATGAAGCTGCAACCTAAAAAAGAATGAACAAAGCATTAATATTTAAGGAAAAGAGAAAATAAAGGTAACTTCCTTTTCACAATAATGTATAAACTGATTACATACAATCCCAATACAGTATTTATGGTTTATTCCCTTCCATAAATATAACTGGAAAAGTACTGGACTTAAGAATCTCTTCTCTTATCAAAAATTCAGCAGGCTTTATTTTCCATATCAAATACAAGGTTGACCTATTCAAAGAAATCATCCTTTCCTATAAAAATTTCATTTTTAAATACAGAAATAACTTTTATTAACGAAGACACATTTCAATGGTACATCTGTCAGAAACTTTACAATCCAGTGAAAATAATATAAAAACCATGAGAAGTAGAAAAAGACATCAAAGGGCAACAGGTTTTAAAAATATATCAAATAAAATGCCATTAACTATAAAATACCAATAAAAATAAAAAATACCAATTGGGAACACCATGTAGAAGGAGGAATAGAGAAAATGGACTAAGGAGAAACCAGAGAGACATCCACTGCAACTGGAGGAGAAACAGCTGATATAGACATCTCTAGTGGACTTAAGCTAGGAGTTTGGGGGCCAAGAGGACTTTGCTCCACGTCACATACCTGATGAGAAGAAACACAAATTCCTCTGTTCCTAGGAGCTTACCAGAGCCTGTTTTCCAATAATTCCTTGAAAGCCAGTTCCCAGTTTATCTTCCTCTTGGCAAGAGGGAAACAACTACAGGGAACAGACCAAAAACCATCTCTTCTCATACCTCTAGGTCTATGGGTTAACCTATAAAGCTAAATTAGGTATACATGTTTTTAAGGCAAGCCAAAAAGGTCTACTGTGATTTCAGGGCACTCTAATGCAAAAGAAGTGATTTCATTTATTTATTTATTTATTTATTTATTTTTAGTATCTATAGTCACTCAGAGTGTGTGTATTTATTTATTTATTTATTTTTAAATATTTATTTATTTACTTTGGCTGTGCCAGGTCTTAGTTGCACCACAGAGGATCTTCGCTGAGGTTATTTAGTTGCAGCATGCAGGATCCTTAGTTGCAGTATATGGACTTCTTAGTTGCGGCACGCATGTGGGATCTAATTCCCCGAACAGGGATCAAACCCAGAACCCCTGCATTGGGAGCGCGGAGTCTTACCCACTGGACCATCAGGGAAGTCCCCAAAAAAGTGATTTTAATTGTTATTTAATATCTAACTTTCTTTCCAAGAAAAAGCTGTACTCCACAATGGTAGGGGGAGAGTTACTTAAAATGCCTGGCCACGGTAACACTTAGGTAAAAAGTGTTATGAATGATCACATTCAACATGTCAATGAATGAATGAACGAATGATTATAACTGGTTAATACAAAGTCATAAATTTGAAAGTAATCATCACAAGGACGGGGTATAAATGAAATAAAAGAAGATGGCAATAAAAGACAATGAATCAGAGAAGTCACAATTTGGGCTTCTTTACCTTCAACCAGGTTAGAAAAAGTAAAAACATGGTTATGAAAACCAAGGGCTTCTATATTAAAAAAAAAAAAAGAAAACAAAAACAAAAATTTTGCTCCCAGAGTATCTGTTTATTGTGATCATCACCAGCACATAAATAATTTTTTAAAATGCATCTCTGACAACTATCGTAACAACTCTAAGCAGGTTTAAAGCTACCATGCTTGGAATAGGGAGATGAGCAATGAAAAATTAATGAGAGAAATCTGACACTCTGAGTGTTTTCTAAAGAGTAAGCAATACATAGGGAGAACGACTGGGGAAAAAAATTCAGAAAAGCAAGAAACAAGCATCAGAAAACACCAGAAAATTCAGTGTTTCAATACTATGTCAATTTTATCATTGGATTGTCATATAGTGGCACATTTACCCAAATATTAAAGCTTAATACAAACAGCAGGGTAGGACAGTAGAAATGATACAATATCACAATTTATTATTTGGCATAAATTTGCATGATTACTATTTATTACCATGAATATTCCGATTTAACATATCCTTGATAAAATTTATTATTACTTAGTAAAGAACAATTTTTAGAACACTAAAACTGTTTAAATTATTACAATTATTACAGGAAAAATATCATTCTTATATTCCCATAGAAACATTTAACTCTGCTACACAACATTGGCCTTAATGAATTGCTAGAATATAAAGCAAATATGCTGTATTTACTTTACATATAATCAAAATTTGATGTATATTATGTGTGAAATTTGGGGGAAAGGAACATATGATGAAACTTGAATTATTTTAAAATAAATCCTCTGTTTAAAGTCTGAGTGAATGAACTTTAACATTCTTCAAACAACAAAGTTTCATTAACAGAAACTTTACAAAGCATCAGTTACATGACAAATATTATATTAGATGCTAACAACTTGCTACATTTCTTGATAAAAATTTGATGTTATTATAATTTGGGAGAGATAAGGTATGCTAGATATAGAAGATAAAAGTTTACTTCCTTGCTACTGGCTTAATAGCTGCTAGAACTATCAACTGGCAGAATATTAGTACACACAGGAATATGAAGCCTACAAATCTTTTAAGACAGTATATACAGGTAGAACAATTAATTATCACTTATCAGCTTAATGGCTCTTTAAAATTTGTACATAACCTATCATTTTACCCACTACTATTAACATCCATCTAAGCAAGGTATAATACATAATTAGAAAGTGTAGGCAAACCTTATATAAAAGCATAAGAATACTCTCTGAGATTGTTAAATACATTAAAAGATGACATTTAATAAAGTAAATAAATCCCTTACTCTTCCATGTTGGTTAGAACACTCCACACAGCTGACTTGGATGTTTCCATGCTTAGCACCAGGAATGATCTGCACACATTCAAAGTCATTTGCCAAAATAACAATATCACAGCCCGATCCATATGCCTAAAAAGAAAAGTTTTACATTATGTAAGATATGTAATTTGTGAATTATTTTAGTTTATCTTAGTTTTGGCTGCTATTGCAAAGGATACTGTGACACATTTTATAAAAATAGCTAATGTAAGAATATTAAAAATGTCAACTTCCAAATCAGAACATTAAAAGTCACACCAAAAACATGGGGTGACAACACACCATGCATTATCATTCAACAACTGCTACTAACAGGAAAAGGGTTCTTCCAGGTCTTAAACACTATAGCCTCCATCCCTCATAAATCTTTTGGTTTAGAATTTCTCTCTGAAGCCCATCTCAGTAAACCCTAAAGAATAAAACCTCCATCTGAAAGTAATGAGGTATTGAAGGCTGCAATTGCATTCCCAGGGTTCAAACCAGGCTTGAGGAAGATCAAGATAGAAATCAGATGCATTTTCCAACACAATTCCACATGGCTTAAAGAGCTAGTTAAATAGACATGAACCCCTGAGGCAGAATTACATGCACTAAGGCAAACACTAAACAAACTCAACTGCCGAAGTGAATCCATGATGAAGCCAGCCTGCCTGCCCCCTCCCCTCAACCTTACCAGGCAGGAGAGGAAGACAGAGAGACAGAGACAGAGAGAGGACACCAATCCAAAGTGGTTAGACACACACACACACACGCTAAACAAAATAAAAAATAAACTGATTTATATAAAATGTGACAAGTATTTGGTCTGGAAAATAAAATAAAACACAAAGTCAAGTTCCTGGAAAATTCCCTTGTTCAAAAGAACTACAATGAGCAAAACTGCATATTTCTTCCTATTGCCACACTTCTTCTTGGTGTATGCTATTCCTGTTTTGCAACTTTGTGAATTTTATGATGACATAAGGGCCAGAGGGTGGGGACATTTCTCTTTTTCTTCCAAACTCAACTTATGATTAAATATTTAAAACAACCTAACAATGTAATTCTCAAATGAAAAAGCCCCATAAAAAGCAACATAAAGTTTATGAGGTGATTTTTTTTCCCCACTATTTCTACAGCCTTAAGCAATATGGTCATGTCCTACAAAATACAGATATCCAGTAGCCAGGGCTGACATGTGATGACAGCTAAGCCAGTGAGGTCCACATATGGCTGGTAATGAAAGAGGGAACTGAAGATAAAGACCAGAGAAGAAGACAGACACTACTTCTACTGGTCACTGAAACTTCCAGTGTTGCCAAAATCCTGCTCTAACTACTATAAACTATCTTCAACTCATGTGTTTGCATATACCAGAAAGTTCCCCAAATGAAAAACAAAGACGGAATTTTAAACAAAGGAACTATGGGGGAAAAAATCACTCCCAGGAGGAAATAACCACTTGTACTCTCATAGACAAAGCAGATTTGCTATGCTATGCATTCAAGAAAGGTAAACTGAATGGGAATCCTGAGTATAGGTAGAAGAAATGTTTGTGTCACCATGCTAACCTTTACACTTATATTATTAAAATCACAAAAATAATCTTACCCTTAAACATTTCACAATTTCCAAAGTACTTTATAGCATTATTTCAGCAAAGCAGATTGATGGTAAGAGCAAAACTTTACCTAGTTTGGAATCACCACACACAGGGTTTTCAGTGTTGGTTCTGCAGTACTACAGGATCTTAAGCAAGTTAACTTAAGCTCTCTGAGCAGTTCCTTGTGGTAGAATGGAAGAAATAATACTTATTTCTTAGGACAGAAAATCTATTTCCATAGTGCTCAGCACACGTCACTCATTAAAGACACGAAACAGTGCATGATGTCCCAAGTCTGGGCTAGCAACTGGGAATACAAAAACACAAGATGTGGTCCCAGTGAGTCTATTGGGGAGACAACCAAGTGAATCACCAATCACAACTAAATGACAAACTGCCATGACAGAGAGAGATATCTGTAAGTTACCAGCAAAGACAAAAGGTACTCAATGAATGTTAAATCGGGACTTCCCTGGTGGTGCAGTGGTTAAGAATCTGCCTGCCTATGCAGGGGACACGGGTTCGAGCCCTGGTCCGGGAAGATCCCACATGCCGCGGGGCAACTAAGCCCGTGCACCACAACTACTGAGCCTGCGTTCTAGAGCCTGCGAGCCACAACTACTGAGCTCATGCACCGCAACTACTGAAGCACACGTGCTGCAACTACTGAAGCCCATGCGCCTAGAGCCCGTGCTCTGCAACAACAGAAGCCACCGCAATGAGAAACCCGCACACCGCAACCAAGAGTAGCCCCCACTCGCCGTAACTAGAGGAAGCCCACGCGCAGTGACGAAGACCCAAAGCAGCAAAAAAATAAGTAAATAAACATTAAATCACTCCCCCTTTCATCTTTGCAACAAACCTGAGAGGAAGAGAGTATAATTATCATTATATAAAGAAAGATTCAAGTTCATTTATTTGCCCAAGATTATACAGTTAGTAAGTGGAAAATGTTCAAACTCAGGTCCTTACAATTCTTATGTTCTTTTCCCCTACATTACATGTCAAAGAGACATAAAATATTTCAGATAAGTATTAGCACACTTGCGTCTCTAAAGATGGGCCATCCCCAGCAACAGCTGCTCTAGACATAAGCTCTTACTGCTCAGTCACTGAAGAGGATTTTTACTCCTCCCTAGATAGCCATAATTGCCTGACCTTTGCCAGAGGACATGTACCATGCTCCTTAGAAGTAGAGAATCTTGCCATTTTTCTGAAATGCAATAGTTCTCAAACCTGGCTGCATCAAAATCACCTAGGGAACTTGTTAAAAATACAAACTGAGTGGTCCCACCCCAGACTTACTAAATCAGGATCGTCATGGATAAAAGAATTTGGCAATATCTATCAACATTTTAAATACAATATACCCTTTGATTGACAAGTCCCTATTTTACTATAAGCATACTAGCAAAGCTTGCCAAAATATATAGAGAAGGATATTCACTGCCTCATTATTTTAAGCAGCAAAAACTGAAAATAATCATACCATCTATCAGTAGGGAAGTGGTTAAATAAGTTACTGAATATCCATCGAGTAGAATACTATGCAGTTACCAAAAGTTTAGAGACCACTGGTCTAAAATGGTCTCAAATCCCTTATCAAACTAGTAATTACCATCATAACAGAACAATCATGTGTGGCACTAGCGTCCTGTGGAACCACACCTAGGTAATACCTACTCTTTTATATAATATCCATGGTCACGGCTAGAACGGAACCCCATAAACTACTGCACACAAAGAGCTGGAAAAGTACAGAAGTTGAATATTATTATTCTTCACCTTTCTCTAAAGAGTCTAAAATACACATAACCCCAAGTGTGCACGAACAGGGGACTCATAATCAGTCAGTACTGAATCACATGCATTCTATAACTGAAGGCGCATAAGATTTTAATGATTTATATACATGTGTGTTTGTTTGTCTGGTTCCTACTACACTGAGAGGTCCATCAGAGCAAGGACCATGTTCTTGTTTACCACTGTAGTCCTAGAACCCAGCATGTGCACAGCCCTCAACAGATACAGATATCTGTATAACAAATAAATGATTCAAAATCTTCCTAATTTCTGGCTCTTCTATGTACCTGGAAACTTGGTCAAAGAACATGGAGTTCAGACAGTTGATATAAGCTAATAATTTAGCCAAGTTTATGATGTTAGCTATACAAAGAAAAAGAAAGATATTTTGGCTTATTTTCCAGTCTAACAGCATCATGGATTTAGAAGACCTACCAGAAGAGAATCTATCAAAGGCTTCCTTAATAATTTACCATTTATTGAATACCTTCTATAATCAGGCAGTCTGCTAGGGTCTTTATGAATATCATATCTTCACAGGCCCCCTTGTAAAGGTGGAGAAACTGAGGTCCAGAAAGGATAAGTAACTCGCCCAAGTTCACAGAGTGAGGATTCATTTGCTTCATAGTAAAGCTCCTGCTCTTTCCATTGCATCACCCCAACTCCACTAAGATGTCTTATAAGCACTAAAAGGCCCATGTTCGTATCTGTAATCCCAAGTATAATTTCCCACAGCATCTAGCTCAGAGTAAAGACCAGCAGCTGAGAAGGTTTATACAAAATCTATAATTACTCAAGAGATTTCCATTCTTTCAATTTTAGGTCAAAAGCAATTTGTTTCATTCCTCTTTTTCAGAATTCAGTTTTACCAGAGGAAAAATTTATAGTGCAGAAGGAAAAGCAGGCGCTCACTGAGACTGCAAGCAAATACTACAATGATCCCAGAGAGTACAGGATACGGGCTTCTTTGTACTAGGTAAATAAATATCTCTGACTCAGCTGAGGATAAACTAACTATTCCACATGTGGTAGAGAGGCTACAGGATCACTACAGGGAAGCAGGAAAAAGGGCACTAAGCCATTTCTGGAACAAATGGAACCCCTTAACCAAGTTCTTCCCTTGGGTTCCTGGGAGAACCACCCCTATGCCATAGCACCACACACCAGTGTCCTGCACTAATAACAGTACTGATGTATATAAAATATTTCTCAAAGTCAAGGATATGGTATCGGCCCAAACGCAAGATTCTTTTTCTAAGAATCTTAGAAAAACATCCTTTCCTTCTCTTCACGTGGGAGTTTCTTTTATTGAAGGACAGAACTGTCCTTATGATGAAGAATTAATAACTAGCTGACAGTTTACAACTAAGAGATAATTGTGTAGCACAAGTTCTAAAGGCAAAGACATGCTCTAACCCTCACTTGTTTTAACCTTACTTTTGGAGACTGAATCCATCCTGTCAGGAAAGAGAAAAGTAGTCTCTACTTTGAGCACTGAAACTAAATTTCCAACCTGACTGAAGTTTTCAACCTGAGTCTAGTGGGTGTGAATCATAGATGGTTTCAGGAGGTCTTTGAAATCCTGGAAATTATATTTAAAGCCATGTGAATGTGCTGGTTTTCACTGGGTCCATAGATTTCATTAGTTTATGTCTTAAAGAATCTCTTCCTTAGACAAAGTGTGTTATCCCAAAATTATTAGATG